ATATCAGAAGCTCAAGATCCTATTAAATTCAAACCTATTTTTGACACAATCATAGTTTAACTGAAGGTTTTAGACACAATCGCAGTTTAACTGAATGTTTCCTATGGTGCCAGTATGATTTCCTTCCTTTGATTTTTTGTTCTCTTGCTATTCTTAGCAGTACTGTGTTTCACTGATCCATCCTCTGTATTCCTTTTAATTCCTGCATCCTCCTTTGCCCTCTTCCTTCTTCCATCTCACTCCTACACACATATTTTTGCTGACTAAGCACTAGATTGTTAAAAGAAAGGCTGACGGTTCAAACCTACCAGTTGTTCCATGGTTGAACTATGTGGCAGTCTGTTTCCATAAAGATCTTTACAACATAAAGATCTGCTTCCATAGAGATCACATAAGGATCTTTATCACATAAACATCCTCCTTGGAAGCCCTCTGGGTGAAGTTCTTCTTGGTCCTGTAAGGTCTCTGTGAGTCAGAATCAACTCTGTGATAGTAAGCCGGCAAGAGGTGTGGGGGAGGGAGTGGGAGAGTCTGGGAAGGTTTTCCTGGAGAACTGGGCATCAAGCTGGGTCACATGAGTGAGAGGAAGGGGTGAATAGTCTACACAGAGGGAAGCTCATGGGAAGGTCCTGTGAAAGAGTGTAGGCCATGATCTGAAAAGTAACAGCTGGAGAGGGGAGTAGCAGGTATATACCTAAGCTAGAGCACTAGGTAAGAGCCATATTATATAAATCTCTGGGTCATGAATTTTTCCTTCTTGCCAGACAGCAAAGGGAAGTCTATGAGTGACCTTTAAGAGGAGAAAAACATCAGATGTGTATTTGGAAATTATCTCTTGGTGCCTACTCATCCTCTTTCCTCCTTCTACTGGTCCTTAAGAAAATACCCTTAGCTTAATGTTCCTTTGAGCTTGACACCTTCATTGTCTGTGTTTCTTCTGGTCTTCCTCCCTGTCCACTATAAGTGTTTACTTGACCTCATCAGTATCTGCTCTTCCTTTTTCTAGTGTGTGACAGCTAGTCTCCATGCATGGTGCCATCGATTCCCTCCCTGTTTGTTCACGGTCACTCATTTCCCATAGAGAGGTTGTACTTCTTTCTCCTCCCTGACTGGGCCAGTGGTGACTAGTCTAACCCCCAAAAGCTGGTGGAAGTGATGTTTCAAGACTCCCATGCTCAGTCCTGGCAGCTCCCCATTGTCCTCCTCTGGGAGCACTCTCCTTTGGGACTCAGCCACTATTCTTTAAGAAATCCTTACCATGTGGAAAAGGCCTGCAGAGAAAAACCAGAGTGTTATAATGGGCAGCCCCAGAGGATCTCCAAACTGAAGCTATCCCTTCAGAGAACCAGCCATGTGGGCCAGTCAACACGCAGAAGAATGAGAAATAACATGATAGTTGTTGTCTATTAAGGAGCTCTGGTAGCGTAGTGGTTACGAATCGGGCTGTGAACCGAAAGGTCAGCAGTTCGAAACTACCAGCTGTTCCACGGTAGAAAGATGAGGATTTCTGCTCCCGTAAAGATTTACAGCCTCAGAAACCCTGTATAGGGTCGCTATGAGTCGTAACCGACTCCACGGCACACAACAACAACAACAAATGTAGGGTAGTTTGATATGCAGGAAATAATCACAGTGTGTAGGACTGGCTTAAATCTTTTTCTGTGACATGTTTTTCCATATTCTGGGCATCCAAGCCTAATGCTCCCCAGTTGCCCTAGAAAGATGCCGTCTCTCTCAATGAGGCAGAATCTAGAGACCCCATAATGGAGTCTGCTGGAAGTGGCTGATACAGATTGGGTGAGAAGAGGTAAGAGAAAGGGCTTCAAGTAGATCCCAAGTAGAGATGTGAAAGGAAGGGGATTCTGTGGTCATTAGTTGGATCATGGTAGGAGAAGGGTTCTATCTCAGAGGGCCTGGTACCTGGTGACATCGAGCAGGTCTAACTTCACTTCTTGAGATTCAATTATATATAGAATACTTGGAATTTGCCATGAAACAGAACATTAGAGTCATCAAACATTTTCTCTGTTGGAGTTTACAATCTTACACATAAGCCCCAAAGAAACAACCAAACAAACAAAAAATCCAATCTTTTATAGACTCATTATATATCCCTGGGTAGCACAAATTGTTTGAGCTCAACTCTTAACCTAAAAGCTGGCAGTTTGAGCTCCCCCAGAGGCATCATAGAAGAAAGTTCTGATGATCTGTTTCTATAACGATCACAGCCAAGAAAACTCTATGAAGCAGTTAGGTTCTGTAACACACAGGTTGCCATAAGTAGCACTTAAGTTGATAGCAAAAGGTTTGGTTTGGGGTACAGATTCAGTATCAAGAGATTCTGTCATATTTAAAACTATATTATTAATTTTAGATGAGAAAAAATTCGAAGGAAAAACAGTACTGATAATTATTTTCAACTTGTTATACCATCTTATTCTAAAAAGAAGTCTGTATCATCATGCCTATTAACACACACTTGTCATTTTCAGTGCTAACTCTTTGCCAAGCACTACATACAACCTGTTACGTACAGTCAGAGAGTTATCTTCCTAAGCTTGGTAAGTGGTTTTGCAAAGGAGTAACCTGAAACTCACAGGTAACAGACTTAGTAAATATGGTTAAGACATACACTTTGACTTGCTCTGTCCTAATCATTTGTTCTTAAGCTGTCAATGTCTCCAGGAACAGAACGTATAGGCAAGGCAAGCAAGTGCCTGTGTTTCACCTCCTCACTCAAAACACTCTTACTTACACATCATTCTCAAAGCTTGGCTGTCCAAGCCAATTTATGGAGCAAAAGAACGGCAGCAAATTAGAAAGGGATATTCCTCTGAAGACAGAGTCAGTGGTTCAAGTGAAATGGCACCACCAGCAGCAAAGACAAAGAAAGAATTAGAAGTCAAGACAAAAAATGAAATCAGTGATCTTTCTAGAAGCAGTCAGCGCAGAACAAGCACATCAGGTAGCTGAGGGTAGCACTATTTCCTCTGAGTCAGGAAGGCTTGCTTCTCTCCTCTGAGTGGGGCCACAGACATCAATTATTACAAGGAAATAATTTTCTTGTGTATGCTGGGTATTAAGGAGCTCTGGTAGCATAGTGGCTACAAGTTGGGCTGCTAACCTCAAGGTCAGCTGTTCAAAACTACCAGCCATTCTGCGGGAGAAAGATGAGGCTTTCTGTTCCCTTAAAGATTTATAATCTCGGAAACCCTATGCAGGTTCATAATAATAACCACCAGCCTGGATTTTACAATTCATAGAGTTCCTTGGTGGCACAAACAGTAAACGTACTCAGCTGCTAATTCAAAGGTTAGAGGTTTGAGTCCACTCTGAGGTAGCTCAGAAGAAAGGCTTGGCAATCTATATTTGAAAAATCAGCTGTGGATAACCCTATTGAGCACAGTTCTACTCAGATATACATGAAGTCACTGATCGTTAGAGCTGACTCACCAGCAACTGGTTTATTACATTTTAGACCTGACTGGAAGGAGATGTTCTAGTCTTATTTAACATATAATTTAATAAAGACCTTCTAATACCTCATTCTGTTCCACAGTCTGCCCCTGGCCTTGTTTTTACTGATGATATGGAGATTTTCCATCGTCTCTTTCTGCAGATGTAGTCAATTTGATTTCTATGTATTCCATCTGGTGAGGCCCAGATATGCAGATGATACAATCTTGCTTGCTAAAAGTGAAGAGGACTTAAAACATTTACTGTTGAAGATCAAAGAGCACAGCCTTTGGTATGGATTACATCTCAATGTAAAGAAAACAAAAATCCTCACCACTGGACCATTAAACAACATTCTTACCAACAGAGAAAAGACTGAAGTTGTCAAGGACTTCATTCTTCTTGGATCAATTATCAATACTCACAGAAGCAGCAGTCAAGAAATCAAATGACGTATTGCATTAGGCAAATCTGCTGCACAAGACCTTTTTAAAGTGTTGAAGAGCAAAGATGTCAGCTTGAAGACTAAGGTGCGCCTGAGCCAAGTCATGGTATTTTCAATAACCTCATATGCATGTGAAAGCTGGACAGTGAATAAGGAAGACCGTAGAAGAATTAGAAGAATTGATGCTTTTGAGTTATGGTGTTGGAGGAGAATACTGAAAGTGCCATGGGCTGCCAAAAGAACCAACAGATCCGTGTTGAAAGAAGTGCAGCTAGAGTGCTCCTTGGAGGCCAGGATGGCCAAACTTCATCTCTCATACTTTGGACATATTGTCAGGAGGGACCAGTAACGGGAGAAAGATATCATGTTTGGTAAGGTGGAGGCTCAGAGAAAAAGAGGAAGACCCCCAATGAGATAGATTGGCCAAGTAGCAGCATCGATGGACTCAAGTGTGGCAACAATAGCGAGGTTGTCCCAAGATTGGGCAGTGTTTCGTTCTGCTGTGCATAAGGTCATTATGATTTGGTACTGACTCGATGACACCTAACAACAACAAATACCTCATTCTGTGGTCTCAGGAGATGAATTGTTTGATATACTCTTATCTGCCTTCCTTCTGCAAGCTTCCACATGCAGTTGGAGAAGATAATCCCCGCCCACTCAGAACTCTCCCAATAACGCAAGGGAAATGTATCAAGTTAGGGCCAGTTCCAAAGAGCAAGCTCCAATAGAACATTCAGGGCCAGCAACTGTCTCTGCTGTTGATCATACTAGCTAACATCCAGTGTGTGTACTTCTGCCCCATGCAAGAATGCTTCCAATGCCCATGTGAACAGAAATAATGCTATGCACTTCAAGTACCCAACACTGCAGATGTGATCATCTCAGACAGCACACCAAGTGGAACAAGCCTGTATTCAGGTGGAAAATGCTGGCATTGTGGGATCTGTTCCACTATTTCTCAAAGGCATGGCCTCTTAGCAAACCACACAGGGAGCAATGTAATGGATAACTTTCATTCATCATGTCAGTAAATGACTCAAGTACACTTGGTACCCAAATATATGAAACTGTGTTTCATTTTGTCCAATGTACTTACCTATTATAGAGAAGGATATCTGGTTTCCAAATCTGGCCGTCTGGGAAACGGACCGTTTTCACACCAGGGTACTCTGACATATTCCATTGCAAATAGTGATCTGTCCAAGACTAACACAACAAACAACAGTGTTAGTGGCAATGTGCTTGTTTCCCTGCTGATATTTCTTGTAAGAGATTAATAGGTAAGTTCAAGCCAAAAAGAGGTCCAGACATTTATTTACATAATTGAGTTGCTATCTGTATAATATAAGGACACTGGGAGCTGTAATATTCTGAAGCAAATAACATACCAATTACATTGACATTTCTACCATCACTGCATTTAGATAGCAGCATTAGAGAGCTTCTGGCCTTTGCATACCCTGAGGTTTCCACTTATGCAGCTGATGGGCTGCTTCCAGCCACATGAATAACTATTTTGCTTTCAAAGTTTCCCGTTGTGAGGAGACTTAAAAAAAAAAAAAAATTAATTCATTTACATCTATTGGAATAGCAGACTGGAGGAACTCAGACCATTTATTCCCGTAAAAGAATATTGCACAGTATCTTAATAGTTGCTACAAAAGAGGTTTCAGATTGGCATTCATATTTGTTGCAGGGATAGTGGTTCTGACATCAAAACTTGACAATGCAGCCTTCCAGCCTCAGGGGCTAACACTGAATTGGGGCACGTGGGTATGAAGTAGGACTTGAGAAGCAGCATGAAACCACAGACAGGGATGCATACCCCTGGGAGAGGCTCTGTCAGAGACAGGGTCATGCCTAGGACCTCCTTCTCAGGACTAAGCTCACCTACCTTTCCTTGGCGGCCAGGTCTGCCAAAACAGCTATGGTAGGCTCACATTCTTAGCTGTGCATTACTGGGACTGCCCAGTGGAGGTCTCAGGACTCAAAGGTCTGGACTTAGCAAGCCCTTCAAGTAGGTGTGATAGGTGATTGGTGGTGGCAGTGTGCCGTGGAATAGGTCCCGACTCATAATGACCCTGCATAGGGTTTCTGAGGCTGTAAATCTTTATGGGAGCAGAAAGCCTTATCTTTCTTCCATGGAACTGCTGGTAGTTTCAAACCGCTGACCTTGAGGTTAGCAGCTTGACTTATAAGCACTACACTATCAGAGCTCCTTGTTAGAGGTGATAGAAATGGTCCAAAGGTTGCCTGTACGAGTTTCTTTAGAAGTGCCTAGAAAGATCTACTTTCTACAAGTGCCCTGGTGATCTATCTCCAGAAAGTCAGCCATTGAGAACCCCTGGATCACAATGCTACTCTGACAAACATGGCCACCATGCGTCAGTGGTGGCTGGATGCCAATTAGTGGCAAGTAAGCACACCAGAGGAGTCCTGGTGTGGCACTGTGGGTTAGTGCACTGGACTGCAAATCAGTTTGAACTGCAAGGTTGGCAGTTCAAGCTCACCAGCTGCTCTTTGGAAACCCTATACAGTGTTGCTATGGGCCAGAACCAACTCAATGGCATTTAACAACAACAACAAACACACCAGAATTAATCCAGACTCAGGGACATGTCTCCCCAGGAAGGGTTCACCTGTGTTCTGGAATTAACCATTCCTCAGCTTTGGAAATGTATTGATGGAACACCACCAGCTGAGTCCAGCGCCGCTCCCTACAATCAAACACATTATGATTTTTGCAGCAAAGTATGCACATGTGTACCAGTGAAACAGACGCATGCCCCAACCTCACATCAGTTTCAGTTTGATCTTATGCCAAATTAATTTGACATGTTAAGTAGCAGCTGGCAGGCTCAAACCATGAAACTTGTGGTTCTCAGTCCTGCACTTATTGTATGGAGCCACAAAGGTACAAAAACATAATTGAGGGAGGATAGCAAGAAAAAAAAAATCTTTAATTTTCAGAATTGTTTAGATTTAATAATGCACATCTGGTATTGTAGGACTGGCCATAAGGCATCAAAGGATGTGTCCTGGGGATAAAATAGCTCTGCAAGGTGGGCAGAAAAGCATCTCAAAAAGGCTGTCCCAGTTCTGGGAATATCTGACATTGGAAAAGAGTGCTATCCAGGTGATTAACATAATTTACAGCCATGGGTATCTAAGAATGAGAAAGTATTCATTCATAATTTGGAGCTATCATTGAGCATTTAGAATTGGAACCTTTCCTATTGCCAAGGTCTCTAATTAGATGAGGGGGATCAGGGGAGGGGAGGACAGTACATAACAGCACCAAGGAAGATCAGTCTGACTCAAAGTATGTTTTCCAGGAATATGTGTGACTAGCAGGGTTGTGTTTGTTCCAGCCTGCCTCCTCTTTGCACCCTTTGTCTGCACCCTTCTCATCTCTTCCTGTTTCTGAGCAGAAGGCCCTTCCATGCCCAGATCATGCAGTTTCTTGAACATGATCTTATGTACTCTGGTTTGGTAGCTGATCACAAAGCCTTTTGATAATCACATTATCACGCCAATCTCCAACATGTCTGTCAGTTGGTCATCCTCTGGTGGCTTATGTGTTACTATGATGTTGAAAATTATGCCACTGATGTTTCAAATACCAGCAGGGTCATCCATGGTGGACAGGCTTCAGCAAAACTTCCAGACTAAGAATAGACTAAGTAGAAGGAATCGGTGGTCCACTTCTGAGGGACTGTTGTTGTTAGGTGCTGTTGAGTTGATTTTGACTCATAGTGACTTTATGCACAGCAGAATGAAACCCTGACTGGTTGGTTCTGCTCCATCCTCACAATCGTTGTTAAGCTTGAGTCCATTGCTGCTGCTGCTGTGCCAATCCATCTCGTTGGAGATCTTCCTCTTTTTCTCTGACCCTCCACTTTACCAAGCATGATGTCCTTCTCCAGTAACTGGTCCCTCCTGATAAATATGTCCAAAATATGAGAGATGAAGTCTCGCCATCTTGGATTCTAAGGAGCATTCTGGATGCACTTCTTCCAACACAGATTTGTTTGTCCTTCTAGCTGTCCATGGTACTTTAAATATTCTTCCCCAACCCCATAATTCAAATGCATCAGTTCTTCCAAAGTCTTCCTTATTCATGGCCCAATTTTCACATGCATATGAAACTACTGAAAATAACTAAGACATCACCTTTGTCCTCAAACTGACAACTTTGTTCTTGAACACTTTAAAGAGGTCTTGTGCAGATTTCTCTCATGCGACATGTCATTTGATTTCTTAACTGCTGCCTCCAAGAGTGTTGATAGTGGATCCAAACAAAATGAAATCTTTGACAACTTCAATCTTTTTTCCATTTATCATGATGCTATTTATTGGTCCAGTGGTGAGGATTTTTGTTTTCTTTACATTGAGGTGTAACCAATATTGAAGGCTGTGATCTTTGATCTTCATCAGTAAGTATTGTAAGTCCTCTTTGCTTTCAGTAAGGAAAGTTGTTATCATTTGCATATCACAAGTTGTTAATGAATCTTCCTGCAATCCTGATGCCATGTTCTTCTTTATATAATCCAGCTTCTTGGATTATTTGTTCAGCGAATAGATTGAGTAAATATGGTGAGAGAATACAACCCTGGCATACACCTTTCCTAATTTCAAACCATTCATGTCCCTTTGTTCTGTTTGAATGACTAAGGGATTAGTCCCTGAAAACCTTATAACTATCAGTGCAAAAGTGCTGAAAGATGAGTCCCCTGCTTGGAAGGCAATCAAAATACAATTTAGGAAAAGCTAACTCTCCAAAATTCCTTCATTATGTGAATAGAGCAAAGCTTTCAGGACCTTCATTATGGGGTATAACTCAAAACGAGAAGAAACTAACTGCTACAAAAATCAGAATTTAGAATTCTCTAAGCAGGAATCTAGGAAATCTGGAATACATAAAGATAATATGCATTCATGAGCTGAAATGGACAGGTGCAAAAACATTACCTTCTATCCCCCCCGACAGCACCCTCTACTGTACATCTGGGTCCTGAAATTCATTGCACTGCAAATTGCTCCCCGGATATCTTAGACATTGGCCCTTTCATACTTTGAAGACTAACTTTTCCCCATAACAATCATTTTAACTGATCACACCTGCGAAAAGTTGTAAGCCAGGTACTTCACACTTTTATCTCTTCCCACTTTAGATGCTGGAACTTCTAAATTGCGATTCCTGGTGTGGCGCTGTGGTTTAATGTGCTAGACTGCAAAGTCAGTTTGAACTGCACGGTTGGTGGTTCAAGCTCACCAGTAGTGCCTTGGAAACCCTCTAGAAGGTTGCTATGGGTCGGAACTGACTCAATAGCATTTAACAACATCAACCCAGAATTAGAAGTCAATTCAAGAAATTGAATCACCTAAGTAGCTCTTATAGTATAGTGGATTTTGAACTAGGCTGCTAACTGAAAGGTAAGTAGTTCAAATCTACCAGTTATTCCACAGGAGAAATAGGAGGTTTTCAGCTCACGTAAAGATTTACAGCCTCGGAAAACCTGTACAAAGTTGTTATGAGTTGGAACCAACTCCACGGCACACAACCACCATCAACCCTGTACTATGAAGAAACAGGAAGGCTCATTGATGCAGCTTTGTGAGAATGAAATGAGGTCATGTATGGAGTGGCAGGTAAAATGAACTTGGCCCTGGTAAGAATGCACAAAATGATGATGTGGGATAAAAGGGAGAGTCACCATTTTGCAAAAGCCAGCAGATTATGGCAGTCACAGTAACTGAGCTGCAAACAAAAGGCAGAAGAGAGCCAATGGCGCTGTTGCATGGGTTGTGTGGCTGGGATCACAGCTCTCTGATCTAGAGATCTGACCTAGTACCACCTCACAGACTTCCCAGAAAATTAGAATATCTAAAGCCAGAAGAAAAGCCATTATTCAAAATACAAGAAGAGAAATATTTTCAAAGCAAATGTGAGTCTGTGGATTGCTCAGTTGTCTTTTCAGAAACGGGAATGGCTTCTGTCTCTGGCATTGCCTCTTACTGATTCAGTCAGAATATGTCTGACAGGATTGCCCAAATCTTAAAGTGAAATTAAAGAGAAACCACACTAATTGTTTTTGTGGGATAATGCACTCTACCGCAAGGTCGGCAGTTCAAATTCACCAGCTGCTCCTAGGAAACCCTATATAGGGTCGCTGTGAATCAGAACTGACTCGAAGGCACTTAAC